ACTGTTACTATTCTTCTCCAGCATTATAACTCAAATGCATCCAAATTTTTCTACAGCCTTATTCATTGTCCAACTTTCATATGCATATGAGGCAATTGAAAATACCATGTCTTGGGTCATGTATGCTTTCATCCTCAAACGGATATCTTTGCTCTTGAACACTGTGAAGTGTTCTTGTGCAGCATTTGCCTAATGTAATACTTGGTTAGATTTCTTGACTATTGCTTCCATGAGTGTTAATGGAGGACCCAAGCAAAATGAAATCTTTGACAACCTCAGTCTTTTCTCCATTTGTCTGAACTTGTATATGAGAAGTTGATGGTCTGTTCAATAGTTCTGCCTTGTCTTGTTTTGGCTGATTATATGGAGCTTTGCCATAGTCTCTTCCCATAGATGTAGTCAGTTTGATTCCTTTGTATTCTGTCTGGTGAGGTCCATGTGCATGTTGTTTAAAAAGGTACTTGCAATGAATAATTGGGTTTTCAAAATTCTATCATGTGATCTTTAGCGTCATTTCTACCACCAAGGTTCTATTTTCCAACTACATATCTTTCCTGTTGGTTTTCAACTTTCACATTTCAATGAAACTAATTATCAGTGCATTTTGATTGTATATTTGATCAATTTCAGATTGAAGAAGTTGTTGTAATTCTTCAATATCTTTACCATTGGATTTAATGATATGCAAATGAATAATAGTGGTATTGACAGGTCTTCCTTATAGGCACATGAATATTATCCTATCACAGATAGCATTGAGACATTAAGATTCTATTATTTTTGTTTATATATTTACATGAACTCAATGTTTACCTTTTTTTGTATTTTTTTCTGGAGTTTGTCTTTCCCCTTTCTCTTTGTATTGTGTACATTCCTATGAATTGTTGAAATTGTTTTTTTTTTCAGTATTGGTCTGTGTATGAATGTGACGCTGCTGGTTGGTTGGCCTTTGCATGGGTTTGATGTCGTTGGGTGGCTGAGTGTGTGCGTCTCACTGGTAGTAGTGCTTGGTCACACACACATTGTGTTAGGCTCACATGATGTATTTTGCTAGGTTCGCCTGGCGTGTCTTACAGGAATGCTTGGTGTGACACAAAAAGTTCATTCCACACATGTGCCACTATTCATTGGGTAGTCAAATTCTTTTCACAACTCTTTTTAAAAAAATTTTTTTTATTGTGAATTATGTGATAGTTTACATGGGAGAACATTAGTTTTACATTAATCCTATTGTATATCCATTGCCATGGTTACAATCCCCTTCATGCACCATCAACCAAAGTGTATACTCTATAATCCTGCCCCCTGGTCGTCAGCACACAGACCCTCTCCCTCTCTGTGTCTAAAGCCCCCAACTGCTCCATCTCTCCATGTCATCGTCTCTGCTTCCATCTCAGGCGTTACTGCTTCTCTGGGTAGGGTCCCGCTCTCCACGCTTCTCCCTTGTTGCAGGGTTGTGTATTTACCGCTCTCTCCTTTAACTCTTGTGTTCCTTCATGTGTCTTCACGTATCTTCATCATTCTTTTGCCAACCTTTGCTCTGACCTGAGTTAACCACGTGTCTACCCGCTGGTGATGGCTGTGTGTTGCTGATATGGTTCCACCTCATAGCAACTCTACATAAGGTTTCCATAGCTGTAAATCTTTATGGGAGTAGAAAGCTTCATCTTTTTCCTGAGCAGCTGGTGGATTTGAACTGCAGCCCAACTTGTAATGTATTGTGTTGCCAGAGTCTGCCCTCTAGCCGATGAATTACCTGATTGGGATTTCTTAAGCTTTTATTGTGAATTGAGTGATAGTTTACATGGCAGAGCATCGGTTTTGCACTTAGCCAATTGTATTTTGTTTCGTTGCAGTTACAATCCCCTCCATATACTGTTGGCCAACAGTATTTGCTTCTATCCCCCTTCCCCCTTTTTTTTTGATGTACACACAAACATGCAAAAATATATAATTGGTTCGACAACCAAAGGGCACAGTTTGCAAGCCAGTCCACTGCCTGCCAGCACATAGCCTTTCTTGTTCCATGAGTCTAGAGTCCTCAGCTACTCTATCTCTCCATGCCATCACCTCTGCCTCCATCTCCGGTATTGCTGCTTCTTTGGTTAGGATCCTAAGTTCCACTCATGCTCTTCCCTCTTAATGGTCCTATGGTCCAATGTTTCTGGAATGAAAGGTTAACTATTCCCCCTTTTTGTTACACATCTTTTACCTTTATAGTTGTAACAATTGCAATTAGTCATGATAGTAATTACTCACTATTGAATCAAAAGAATCCTATCCCCATCTTCTTTCATCAGACCCGTCTAGACAAGATGAAAACTATTCAGTGGGGATTCTGCCTTACCCTGCTCACGCTGAAACTAAACTCCCTCTTGAAAACTTGTAAGTCAGCCACTTCGTGCCTTTACAGCCCCCTCATTTTAGGTAGCCATTGTTTAAGTTGTTCTTTCCTATCAACCCTATGCACTGAGGCAGTAGGCTTGATCCTTGATGTGAAGACTCTTTCCCTCTCAGTTGCTATTTTGAGCAACTGCATCCATAAACAAAGGCCAAGTTCATCAAATTGTAGCAATTTATCCTTATCTGCAAGTTTGGGCATTCTTGTGTGCCTCCCCCCCACTTCATATCAGTTGGACGCTTCACTCTCAGCTCTAGCCTTCATTGGCTAGATCAGTGTACAAGGGCTCAGGAGTTCCCAAGTCTCCCCAAGCTTCAGACCAACCAGACCTTCCTCTTTTCTCATATCAAGGTCAACAGGAGTCTGGAAAATGGTCAAACTCAGCCCATGTCTTCATTACTGCCTTTCCCCCACTTCCATTCACAAGTATACTAATGTGGTCACCAGCAAGCTTACATGCCTGCTCGTGTGTCCCCTTTGAGTTTCATTCTTGGAAAGAGACCTGATTGATTTTTTTGAATGGCAAAATGACATAGGATTCTTGGGATAGATCGCTCTTGTTATGGTATATTATCCTGTTTTATTTATGTGTTAGTCAATTTGATTTGCTTATATTTATTTCTTAAAGATATTTTTGTAGTTAACTGAATGAGGGAGATTGTTCTGTAATTTTTTTCTGAAGAAATCTTCAGGTTGTGGTGTCAGGTTTATGCTGCACTCAAAAGGAATTGGAAGTATTTCCTCTTTCTCTTATTTTCTTAAAAAATTTTTTAAAGATCTTAAAACAGCTTGAGGAAGATTTGTATGATTACTTCCGTAAATGTTTGAGAGAATCTGCCAGTGAACTAATAGGGCTGGAGTTTTCTTTATTCAAAAAGAAAAAGATTTCACGTTTTCTAATTTTTGTGTCTTGTTTAGATAAGTTGTATTCCTCAAAGAATTGTTTAAATTTTATGTTTTTGTTGATTTAAAAATTTATTTACAATTCTAAATATTTTTTAAACTGTTGTATTGTGAGTTGAGTGAAGGTTTCCATTGCACATTAAAAGGCTATACATTTAACAAGTTATATACTTCTTTCATTTCAATGATAGCAATCCCCTCCATTTAACAACAGTTGATTCTATTTTCTCTTTGTGATTCTTCATACCCATTCCAGTTTCTTTTCCACCCCTTCTAAATTTTGCCCATAGGTGTGTGCTTCCTTTTTGGTCTTGGATGGCTGACTCTTCCATGGCATGCATACCGTACTATTGTTGTCCCCCAGTAAAATATGTTCCTTTTGCTTGAAAATTTGCCCACAAGGGTGAATTCTGTTCCAGACCTGAAGAGTGACCAAGGGCCTCTCAGGTTACTCCAATGTGTTTCTGGCCAGTTGTTACTTAGTGCTGTGGTGGTCACTGGACTCATGGTGGTGGTGGTTGCGTGCTGTGGATTTGATTTTGGCTCATTAGGGTTTCTGGGACTGTAAATCTTTACAGAAACACAAAATCTCATCTTTCTCCCTTGGAGCTACTGGTGGATTTGAACTGCTAACCTTATGGTTAGCAGCCCAATGTGCTACCGAGCTCCTTCATTCTGACTCATAGTAACCCTATTTAGGGTTTCTAAGGAGCAGCTGGTGAGTTTGAACTGCTGATTAGCACTGGTTAGCTGTTCACACACATCAGAACCCCTGGTTTATTTTATAGTTTTGCTTCATACTCTAGCCAGGAACTTCTAATGCCTTTTCAGTGCAGTTGATAGTGGCAACCAGGTACCATCTAGTTCTTTTGGTCTTAGAGTCGTGAAGACTGATATTCATATGTTCCCTTGGTCCATTGGACTGTTGCCATCTGTCTTCAGTTTTCATCACTTTTCTTTCCTCCACAAAGGGAGAGACCAATAGTTAACACTGGAGATGACCACTCATGAGTGTTTAAGATCCCAGTTGCTACTGATCTAAGTAGATTGTAGAACATTGTCGTTGTGGGCTGTGTTATGCCAGTTAAAAATGGTGTATGCCAAGACTTCAGTCTTGAACTTCCAGATCCAGCAGCTTCTTACCTCAGACTTTTGGTAATGTCTAAGAAGTTTTCATCATTAAGATAATAATTTAAAATGAAATACTAATTGTATTTCTTCCCCCAAAGGAAGCAGTAAGAAGAATAGTGCATAGCAAAAAAAAAAAAAAAAAAAAAAAAAAAAAAAGCTAAATGTGTGATGGTATCAAGTACTTGGGTCAATAGAATATTCTTGTTATTCTAGATTTCTAGAGCTTTATTTTAAAAAAAATAGTTTAGAATCCTGTTAATTTTCTAGGTATAAAGTTTAGTATAAATTTTTATAATGACAATAAAGGTTTATTATAAACTTCAAGTAAAATATAGAATGTGAAGGAATTTGACTGCCTCTTGTGATGTATTTTGTTTTTCAAGCATGTTTGTTGATTTTTTCTGTAAACTATAAAATGTTTTAAAACAGAATTATGACTGTTGGCTTAAAGAGTCTTTTGATTTCTAATTGTTATGTAACAATCATCCAAGTTAAAGAAAGCTGACCATTTAAAATTTATGTTCTTTATTATTTTTTAAAGTTTCTATTTTTTTTTCCTCTTAAGATAAATAGTTTGGAATCCAAAGATTACCTCCAGGTTTGTCTTCGAATAAGACCGCTAACACAGCCAGAAAAGGAACATGAGTCTGAGGTTTGTTTAGAATTTAACTGAGATTTAATTAAATGAGTAGGATGCCATTATTCTTATATATTTATTGTGAGTGTATGTTTTAGGGCTGTGTGTGTATTTTGGATTCTCAGACTGTTCTGCTTAAAGATCCCCAAAGTATCATTGGTCAGTCAAGTGACAGAATCTTTGGGCAGATGACACAGAAATTCAGTTTTTCCAAGGTAAGTGTAAGTGCCCATGGAAACATGAAGCCTTTTTCTTTTTAAGAGAAAGAGAATTGTCCTAGGTTAAACTGGCTGTGTAAATGTATATGATGAATTATGTATTTTGTTCATATAAACTTTAGATTTTAGATAGTGATAATTTTTTTCTTACATGTAGTACTCAAATTTCAAGTTTACAAATGTAAGAGTGCTTCAGAAAGTTAGTAGGAAAATTCCACTATCGTTTAATCCCATTTTTTCCATGAAGTTTTTGAAGCCCAGTTGTATAAGGTTGTAAGTCAGTAGCTCAATGTATAGTGCTTAATTTTGCCCCTTCTGTTTTCAAAAGTTGATGGACCATGTCAGATTCCAGTCTTGAACACTTTCTGGTACTTAGTCGTTAAACTATCAAATGTATTTATGGGATTGAGTATATGACATGGGTTCCAAAATTGAATCTTAGAAACCAGCCTTTTAAGTTTGTAAAACTTAAGGAAATAGAACTCATTTTAACAATTAACATAAATTTTCTTTTAGAATGCAATTTTTAAAAATGTTTATTTAGGTTTTTGGCCCAGAAACTACGCAGAAGGAATTCTTTCAGGGTTGCATTATTCAGCTAGTAAAAGACCTCTTGAAAGGACAGAGTCGGCTGATTTTTACTTATGGGGTTACCAACTCAGGAAAAACATACACAATACAAGGTAAATACGTTGTTTTACTTCTGATGAAAAGGAAAAAAAAAAGCAGTAATATTCTTTTCTATTTTCATAAAATTTATGTGTGATTGTTTTTCCTTTACTTAGTTTGTCTGCTCCATTTTAAATGTGTATTGTGAATGACATGTATGAAATTATTTTACTCATATGATAGAGAATTAGACAATGCTAATAATTCATAAAAAAGATAGATTTGACTATGAATAGCCACAGAGGCAGTTTATATTTCATTTTATTTTTAGATTTTGTGACTATGGATGATTAAAAAGATTAATATTCTGGCCTGATCTGAATGTTAAATTTCAGGTTTTGCAATATAATGAATGTTATTATTGTTGCTTGGTGCCATTGAATCAGTTCCAACTCATAGCAACCCTGTGTAGGGTTTCCAAGGAGCACCTGGTGGGTTTGAACTGCCGACCCTGTGGTCGCAGTCCACTGCTGATCCTATAGCGCCAAACCAGAAGTTCTTGTGTTATAATGTTGTTGTTGTTTTTAAGTGTTGTTGAGTCGGTTCCAACCCATAGCGACCCCGTATAGGGTTTCCGAGGAGCGGCTGGTGAGCTTGAACTGCTGACCTTGCAGTTCAAACAGTTGGCATATTAATAGTAGTTGATAAAGTGGCAACAATATAGCGAAGACTAAAATGTTGGGAAACTTTGAGTAATCCCTTAACTTCTTGCACTGTGTTCTTAGCTGTTTACTCTTCCCTAGTGGTGATATAGCTAACCTGTAGGACAGAGTGGAACTGCCTCATCGGGTTTCCAAGGCTGTAATCTATTCCAAGGTTTTAATCTATGGGTGAAAGGTGAGGCTTTTTGCTCCCATGAAGATTTGTAGCCTGGGGAACAGGGTCATTGTGAGTCAACCAGCTCACATGGCACCTAGCAGTAAGTGCAGTCTTTATGGAAGCAGACTGCATCTCTTTCTCCTGCAGAGCAGCTGGTGCATGTGGACAGCTTCAACCTTGTGGTTAGCTGATGAGTGCTTAACCACTGTACCCTCATGGCTCCCTGTTGATGTGGCTTGGTGTTGTTATTAAGTACTGTCAAGTTGGTTGTGAGTCATAGTGACCTTGTATAGGGTTTCTGAGGCTATGCATCTTTGCAGGAGCAGAAAGCCTCATCTTTCTCCCCTGGAGTGGCTGGTGGCTCGAACTGCTGACCTTGAGGTTCACAGCCCAGTGATTACTGTACAGAGCCACTGCATTCCCATTGATGGCATAATATTCCAGGAAAGTTTTACCCTGATGTGGTGCTGTAGGATAAGCACTGGACTGTTAACCACAAAGTTGGCAGTTCAAATCACCAGTTGCTCTCAGAATCCCTATCCAGGATCACTATGGGACAGAATTAACTCAGCACACAACAATAATAATATACTGAAAGAATATATACCCATTCTTTACTTGACAACATAGTTTCCAAACACTGGGTCATTATGAGAGAATTAGCATTATGTCAAAATGGAAGATGAACACATAGATCACATAGTGGTGAAGAATTCCATAATTACAAAACTGACAGATTACATCATTACATAACTACCAAACACTGCAAATCATGCCCCAGCCAAGTTGACTCATAATTTAGTGGTCACAGCTAGTGTTACTCTCACCTTACACCTTGGCATCTGTTACTGTTAGATATTTATTGTTAATTCAGAAAACAGTAGATGGTTTACTTTGTTGTAAATGAAATGTTAGATAATGAGATAGCTGATTACAGGAGTAGGTGTAAAACAAAAATTACTTTTGCAGGCACAGAAGATAATATTGGTATCCTGCCTCGAACTTTGAATGTATTGTTTGATAGTCTTCGGGAAAGACTGTATACAAAGATGAACCTTAAACCACATAGATCTAGAGAATACTTACGTTTATCACCAGACCAGGAGAAAGAAGAAGCTGCTAACAAAAGCACATTGCTTCGGCAAATTAAAGAGGTATGGATGTATTTTAGTATGTGAAATATGTATGTCATCAGTTTTCATCAACTCTTTAGTTTGTTTCAGTCATGTTGACTTTTCTTTTTGAGAAAAAGATTAGTATCTTGTTAGAAAACAACTGTTTTGCATTTCACAAACAGCAAGAATGCTTCAACAATACAAGTTTAAATTACTTCTAAATCTTTTTTTCCAAACTTTTTATTGTGAATTGAGTAAAGGTTTACAGAGCATATCATCGGTTTTACATTCAAGAAATCATTAACTTTGCTTCATTACATGATTGCAGTTCCTGTCATGTACCAACAGTTAACAGTGTTTACCTCTATTAACTTTAACTTTTGTATTCCTCCATGTGTTTCATGCTGCCTTCATCTTTCCTCTGCTGACCTCACTCTTGTATGTTGTCAGCCCTATTACCATGATAATGGCCTTCTAGCCCCTGAGTAATTTACCGCCTGTAAACATCTTAGGGGGTCCTGGTGTGGC